AATTCCCACAAGGCGCCTTCATGAGTTGCTTGTTTTTTCTGTGGAATTTTAATTTTTTTTTTCTTTCTGTATGTGTGTGGGGGAGGACGGRAACTCCAGTGGTGAAGGCTAGAGATGGTTGGGGCACGCATGTACAGTCACAATGTTATCAAGAAAAAACGCCCCTGGTTGTGTCACTCTGGTCTGACTTGCTGAGAATTTCTTCACACACCGATCAAAGAAAAGGCACGTGGCAAGTCGCGGGGGTTAGTTAGAATTTAGTGCAACTGTAGATAAGAGCCCAATCAATGAGTTTGGCCTTATTTACAGTCAATGACCTGTTTTTCTGTTTGGCAGGAGGTGGAATGGTCGATATCTCAGATTGTTTGTGTGCTAATACAGTCACCCTATATTTAAAGAAGAGTAAAGAGTACCGAATGTTCTTTGGAACTTATTTGGCAAACTAACCGTGATTAAACTTTAGTTTGTCCTTGCACATTTGGACCCAGAATCTCAGTTGTCTAAGATAATCTCACTGCACAAACTCTAAAACAAATGATAGGCATGACTTAAATTGACCTGACAAAGGCCTTTGACCTTGTCAGTGTGTGTTTTCATGCTCCACCGGTGCGATGGCGCTCTGCCAGGATCTCTCAGGTGATAATGTCCTACTGGAGCTTGAAGGAAAACCTCGCGAGCAATGTTTCCATACTCCAAGACATTCCTGGTTAACTGGATTAAATAATACCATAGAATCACCTCAATGGTGTTTGATTTCTTCTGTGCTGCCTCAAAGCTACTCGGGAGMATCTACTAAACACACTGTTCAATGTGCAGTAATGCCAGGCAAAGACTAAGGTTCACCGGACCCTAATCAGAGAATTACTGCTTGCTGACAGTGCAGCACTGGTCTGCCTTTCATTAGTTAGACTTAAAGAACACATCGGCGGTTTTACACACGTCTGAATCAATGTGTGACCTTCGTTTTTATAGGTTTAGTAAGTGGAGTATAAAGTGAGTTGTGGCCTGAAACGAATGAAGCAAACAGACCCCTTTTTTGTTTGCTGTATGTTATAAACTTCAAGTTAATAAAGATATGAACCAGGTTGTGGCAAATTGCAGCTACTAAAACTTCGCATAAAGAGCCAAAGTGACCTTGTTTTGAACAATGTGAGTCRCATGCTGTGRCCTTCACAGGCTCTGTTCTCAGTTCCAACATGAGGGTTAAGAGATCAGTATCCCTCCACAACATCCAAACTAGTAAAAAAGTTACAGCTTTCTAGACATAACTATAAAATAAAAATTAACAGTATTTTTTGGGCAGGTGTTAAGATGTGTTCAGCTCTTGAGCAACGACACAAATGTGTGCTCACCTCATTTACAAAGGCACCTTTTTTTGTGAGTGTTTTTAAGAACTGCTTTTACTTTGAAGGAACTTTCTGAATTGTGTTTTTTTTTTTTTTTTCTTGCCAAAGGTTGGTTTGATTTGTAGCGTTTGTTAACCTTTTTGTCGGGATGAATACAACCAACACATGCTTTGATTCAAATGTAGTAAAGTTTCATTTTGCTTTGCTGTGTCTAATTAGGAGCAGGTTATAAATCGGTTTAACCTCTGTGAAAGGGAAAGATTTCATATTTGCAAAAAAGAAAGTCTGCTAATACCATCAKTTCTGATGCACAGCTGTGCTGATCTCATTAAAGCTTGTCTCCATTGTGGCCATTTTTCTGTAACTGGGTACATCTCAGAAGCTTGCTATGTACAGAGACCCACCCCTCAGAAATTTTTATTAGATTGTTTCTCCAGATGGAGGAACTATAATCACAAACTGACTTTAATCCTTTAGTCACTAAATAAAATAAATCACCCCAAATACATGGTTATGGTTACCAACAAGAGAAGGGCACGTAAGGTTTTACCTGCAAGATAGCCTGCAGGCCCAGTCCTGATTATAAATGCCTTTATTATTAATAAGGAGATATAAATGTGCCATTTTTTTCCAGAGTCCTTTGCAGACTAAGTATGTGGGACTTGTTTGATAAGTCATGGCATGGGGCCATGTAGCTCTCATGTGACCAGTGAAATGTTACGTCAACRCTTTCATACAAAGAGTGGCTGCTCTGAGTGCCTTTGGTGGTGTACTAACCTCCTTCACTTATAAAACAATGGGCCTGCTTGAGTGTTCTGTGTTGGTCAGACGTCTACTAGCTTGCAGCCGAGAGTGAGGCTCACATTTCTGTATCAGCAAAGTCAGCAAAGCTTCTTTGGGGGATTATCATCGCTGCTAATTGGCTATTGGCCTCGTTGTTGATCATGTCTTTTTCTGTGTTCGCTCTCATCCGTATTTCTATAGAAAATGAATTTGAATGGCACGGTWTTATCTGCTTATATTTCCTTTTTTAGTTTTTCCTCATTGGATGCTGCTCTTGGTTTTGTCAGTACAGGTGCGTTATGGTTTATTGCCTCAAACTGGTTACTGTTAGATTCATCTTAATGGGGCAGAGAGGCAGCAGAGCGTTTGCTGATCTAGTGGTTTGTCTGAGGATTAAGGTCAATGGGGGTAAGGAGCTCAAAGCTGCTCCTCATGTATGTGTTCACTCTAGTTCAGTTGCAGGAAGACAAATTAATGGAGTTGGGTGTTTTGGTGATGAGGGGGCAGCAGKATGTTTCTCATATTTTTTGGAGATGCATGTTTTTATTGAATCAYGTGACTTTGAAGAGATTAGTTTTTAAAACTCTGAAACCTCTTCGTTGGTTCAGGTGTTAAGACATATTTTTTCCAACATGTGTCCCAACTGTGACAATGGTGTCCATAAAACGATTTGTACTGTCACATGTGTCTTTGTGTTTGTAAAGACCCTTCCTGCCTCATTTGCCAGTATCCAGTGTGTTCTCACAGCCACTGAACTTGGACTTTTCTCCCAGTGGCACACAAAGCCRGGGAGCCTTGAGGTTAGTTGGTCCAAACCCAGCGGGCCTTGAACTCATCGCCTTTCTCTCCACGCACTGGATTTGTCATTCCAGCTGTGATAGTGTCTTTGAACAGAGAGCATTATTCATGGCCTCGAATGAGGGAGGAGGGTGGCAAATCCTAATTGAAATTCCAGTCTTTCCTTACTGGAATGAAATGGGACTGACAACGCCCCACTGTATTATCCCAAGCTCTTGTCACCTTAAAAKCCCCATCTGAGGACTGTTTCTAAGCAGCGGAGGAGAGCCGTTGAAGGGAAAACGTGGGATGTATCACCAAAAAGGATGAATGAAGCAGGAAGAGACATAGCGAGGACAGCAGCTTTACAGTAACTCTCATTTTCTTGGATATAACGCGATCGGGCCTTCTGTACTGCAGTAAATAAAGAGCTGGACTGTCTGGGAGTTGGTGGCTGTCAGTGTTGTGCGCATGCTAATGACTGGGTGAATGAATCAGTGCCATTCTGATAGCAGAGACGAGTACAAGGAACCCCTTTCTGGTTGTGTCCTCCTCACAAAAGTTTACTGTTTTCATCCACCTACTATCCTGAACTGATGATTTGACATACTTATTTTATGAAATAATATAGTATTTAGTAAGTATATCTAAAACCCTAACCACTGTAAACAAAGAAACATAAATCTCCAAAAATTGGAATATACAAAAATTAATGTGTCTATTGTGAGTAGCTTCATATTTAACTGTCACAAGTGTCATGATATGGCAAAAAAATAATCGTCATATATTCTGAAGTTGTTGTAACAGAAAAAGCAATGAGAAGAACTGTGTGTATACCAAAACTAATAGGAGCCCTGTCCTTACCTGTCTGCCTCTCCTTTTCTGGTGAGTTCAGTCTTGTTGGTTGATGAATCAAGTTTGTTCTCTTTATGTMGAACAAYAAGGTACTGCCTGTCCAGTCCTTAYAC